TCCTCTCTCCTTTGGTCGAGGAAAGTATTAGATATTTATTGAAGGGAGGGACAAGGAAGGGAATCAAGGCCTTGTCTTCCTCTTTCGGCCATATACAATTACGACTCATCTATTTCGTTGAGGTTTTACAATTGATTGAAATGAGAGGCCTGTTCACCGCCATATTCCAAGTTAATGACACTTTGATCGACTCGAAAGATACAGCTTCAAATTCCATTACTATCTTGCACAATGGGAGTTCATGCAACAGTTCTCGAGGTATTGGGAATATCGACCCTCGGGAATCCCGGCTGTAATGAGCTTGACAGATTGGGCCATCGGCACGTTCTTATCCCCGAAAGTGTGTTCCCGAACGAGTCTCTGTCAGGCAAAATGGGCCGAGACATAAATTGAGCCAGGGTATTCTCCCAAAATGAAGACCCTTGTAGAGGATCCTATCCATCTGGACGGTCGGGCTGGACAGATTTGCGTTTGCTTTGCTGAGCTCTTGTAGCCATATTTGAATTCTCCTCCTTCCGAGAAAGCTTGTCGTGGCACACGTTGGTGTGTAGGTTGACGTGATGGAAGGGTCCAGGGTGTCTTTCAATGGTACCATATTAAATATTTACTGGATCCTCGCAGGACTCTTGACAAAACTTAATTAGAATCGAATACGATTATTATGGACGAAGACGGCTGCGAGAAAAATTAAATTCTATTTGTTGTAATGTAGCGGTCATATGAAGTTTAATAGTCGTTTGGAAAGGATCTAGGGAATGTCTGAGGCTGAAAATATACCACCACCTATGAAAGCCGTCGTTTGTTATCAGCTATGGACCCTTATCCCTGAAAAGGCTCAGCAATCTGGCATGCATGGATCCACTGCGGGAGTCTCTCAAAATCTTATTATCAAGAGTCGTCGGTAGAAGCTGGGATTGGGGCGTCATTATATTCTGGTAGGGTGCTTGTTCTGGAAGAAAAAGAAGCCGTACCCCAACCCCTCTATCTAAGCTGATTTGTTGATGATTAATTTGAGTTCACCCTAAACACAAACCATTCGCTAGGCTTGCAGATGAGGATACAGATCATCAACGAATCTGAGGACTCAAGGAGCAGGCTTTCCAAAGTGAATAAACGCTTGGTTAAACGTTCGATGACTATCGCCAGGTAGCAGATTTTTCTGGCTGACATTAAATTAGGCAAGTTGAGAATAGGATTTCGAATGGAGTGGGCTAATGTTAGGAGCCTGAGACTTCTTTATGCATGCTGGAGTTCCATTACCATGCACCTTACGATGCTCAACCAAGAGCGTACGAGCTCTGAAATTGAAGTGCCTGGGAATTTAGCCATATTCAAGATGCTCATTCTAGCTCTAGTCCAATCTATGTCTCAAACTGCAAGCAAATGGGATAGAACGCAGCCATCTTTGTCATCTGCAAAACGACTACCAAGTACTCATAAACGGGTGAGCGAGTTAGGAAAGTTTACAGTGAAATAAGTGATTAATCCCGTTGAAACTTGACAGTATTCTGAAGCTCCTCTTCTCGCTGTAGGGGTTATTGATCTCTTAGTATATGACTCGGGTAATGTCTGATATTTTACTTCATAATCTGCTCTACGCAGGTACGATATACCCGCTTGAGTGGATGCAGGGATCCGTGTAAAGGGACAAGGTGGCTTGAATGGGGATTTTTGCGCAGTAGCCGCCTCCATGATATTTTGTCTCACTTGCCGAGGGAGCGGGTGATCGATCATCTCGGAAATTAGGCGCATTTACTGTCATCGAATATCCATGACACTTTTATGGATTCAATTATCACCCCAAACTTGACTCATGATGGTCCGTACGGAGATTAGGAGTGCGGAACTACTGGCACTGACCGTCGCTCGTTTCATACCAGCGAGAAACATTGGCAGCTGCAATGCTTTAGACGAGTCTACAGTCCAGCCTCGAGCTAGCTCACAATGTCGTTTGCGGAGCGATGTTGGCCGTGCTCTCAGCGTCATGCTTTCTGCGAGTGTTTTGGAAATCTTAGGGCGCAAGGCTCGTTTTAATGGCATCATGCACGATAAGATCGACTGCCGATGTGAACAATAGGTTGAGAAGAATGAGCTGCTTTCAAGCCAACTATCCCCTGCCAAGGCATTTGAGACACCACTAGTGTTTGCGTCGCCTTCGCTACATACCGTATGCTGCAGTCGAATCAATCGCCAACGCCTTCCAACAGCTACCCGGAGGCCGGGTAATCGAGCCACTAGCGATTCCTAACCTGCAAGAAACCAAGCTGAACCACGCAAGGGATTGCGGACGGCAAGTGTTCAAGCCTTCGCAACAACTCGAGCCGCAGCAGTAGCATGTCACCTATATTAGATCGGGTGACAGAATTACTCCTTGCATCCTTCGTTGGCAAACAGGGGTCTGATTGTATCTGGATGCGCGGGATGAAGCTAGTTGGGCTTGTGGGTTTCAGGGCCGTAGAATCTCATCAAATCAGATATCCCAACTGGCATTAATCAACTCTAGCCACCGACTCTGCATGTGAGGAATATTTTTCACATTTTTCATCGAATATTAGTTCGTAACTAGCAGTGTTTTATGGTATATTGTACCCCTGCTACGAAGATTCATCCTTCCTGCCTCACATCCTATTTCCTTCTGGCTCAGCTCCACCCTAGTGTACTAATCGAGAGTTTATTTCTAACTTGGGCGATGCTTCTTGCTACTTCGCTCTTCATTGGTGCAACGGAAACTAATTCATAAATGACCCTGAAGTTTTCTCTCTATTCCCGATATCGATGCGGATAAAGGTATGGTTCTCGGCGACCAGTGCCTGCAGTGTTAAGCCCTTCTAACATCCTAAACTCGGTAAGTTGGTTTGTCCCTATTTACTTCTGACTTGATTGTCAAGCCTAGCGCGCAGCCCCTTTCCTCCGGTGGATTTTGGCAGAGTTGCATCACTCTTCGGCGTCTGCTTATTCTAGCTGTTTATCGCCTGTCGTAGTGTGGCTGGTACTCTAGTTTTAGTTTTTAGCTCGTACCTTAGTATGATAATCCTTAGCTCATCAATGATCGGAGAGCTAAAATTGAAAGAAAGAAAGAAAGGTCGAGCGAGGGCATGATCAGTCCGACGAGGTCTGGTAGCGGTTTATTAAGGCAGGGGTGGAATAGGCTACAGGAATGAAATTCTGGTAGCCTCTCTGACTTGCGATAAGCAAGGGCCGTCGAGAAGTTCCCCATTATTTGTCCTAATTCACATTTACCCCTACGACCTGCCCCGCGATCGTCGCCTCCACTACTAGCTTCCGTCCCCTTTTCGGACCCTGGCTCATTGAGAGCAGGGACCCGGTCCTAGTCACTGTACAAGGTCCAGCTCCCCTCAACCCCCCTCTCGTTATCATCAACAACAACAACGTTATCACTATCACCATCATCAACATTAGAATTATTCAGTCAACTTAGGGAAAACCCATCACCATTGAATCACACACTGCAGAGAATACTGCTGTCTAAAATTAACTAAATCTACCAGTAGCTTGTACCAGATCTAAAGCAGATCCTCTGTTACGCATCATTATTGTCATCATCATCATCATCATCGAAATTCTCGTTACCACTATCGCATCAACTAATTCGCTTATGTACTACTTTTCATAGCTCACTCAGTTTTACCTCCAATGCTCTTGTTTCCCCTCACCCCCTGGTGGTTGCAGCTCTCAATTTCTTCGGACTAGAACGCTCACTAGCTAATGACTGTCTGACAACCTGGCGCTTCGAACTCTCCACAACTATCCCCAACCTCTAAAGATCGAAGAACATAGTGGAAAATTCGAAAAATAAGGAATTAATGCTTTTCAAGCAAGCCGACGCACAAAGTAAAACCCCTCGCCCCAGCTTTCACCCGCATTAGGTCCCAGCGGATTCAGCAAACACCACGCTGCTAGCCCGTGGAGAGATAGCAACTTGGGAATTCACCGCGAGCTACGGACCGCAAAAAGTAATCTTTAACACTATCAGCTTATTTACCCCTCCGCGATCCCGGGCGCTTACCTGCTGTCTCCCACTGTTTATCTGTCGCACTATCAAAAACACAATCAATAGCAGCCGATACCCCCCTCACATCTCGGCAAGTCGTTCTCCCGTATTCCCCTTCTCACCCTAGCCGACTGTCCCTGCTTTATCCAGGGGTAGGGAACTCTGGAGATAATCTGGTACGGCCCTTCACCCCGGCTCCGACTTCTTCTCCCGAAAACCCGCCTCTCATAACCCCTCGCCTACTCACAGACGTGACTATCTGAAAAGCGACATCCTAGCGTCTAGCTTGCCATGGCATTTTATTTATGATAAACTGACCGTCAGCCTTCAAAGACAATCCTTTTGCAATACTATTCACTTTCACATCATACATGGTTTACAGATATCAAGATCATTACTTGCATCGCATAAAGCTACCATACGACTACATCATTCTTATCAGCTCTACTGACTATCGACTACTTACCAGTGTTAACCCGATACCAAACGTTAGGCTTAGACTGGTGTTGCAGTTTTGATTATCTTGTGTACCCACGACGGGACCTGCGTGTCCGAGGAATATATTTCGCCCTCAAAGGTTCTCGGAGCTTCACTATCCTCCAAAACTTATTGGTTAGAATACAAAACCCTAAATCTGCTGTGTCACCATTGTGTACCTTTCTATTTGATTCTCCACAAGGTCTCGACGGAATTACAAGTTAAAGAGTTATCAAGAACTCCGAATAGTCTACACAAACGGAATTCTTCGAGAACTTGTACCGCCATATCACTGCTTTTGAATAGTTCCGAGCCACCGAGAGCCTTAGGACAGCCACTATAGAAATTCTATGCTTCAGTAGTATTACTAAGATAGCTACGATATAAAATTTAGGAAAATTCAGCTTCCTAGAAAAATTTGTACCTCAATATTCGCCTCATCTCGGAGAAGAAATCCGTATCGTAATCTTCTCTCTAGACTCAACGGCTCGCACCTCTACCTAACTTGTCCATGCAATCCCTACTAAATCGACAAGACAACCTCCGTCTACCTCTCGGCGAGCGTCGAAAGAAATCAGACCTTGGACGGTTCTGTCTTGATCTTAGCTGGGCTAGAGAAGTTCCAGATAGTGCACGTTCGAGAGCATATCCCTCTCCGCCCATGTCTGGATCGCCAACTCTGCCATCAAGACCAAATATAGACGCTTGTGAGCGTGGGCATGGAGCTTATGTATCAGGTGTTGCTGGACCAGGCGTCTATCGCGGCCTTCCGACCCCTCAGTTAGATCAGTCAGACCAAAGGAGTCTAGCTCATAGAATTTACACTCCTCTACCAGAGCCAGCAACATCAATAATGTTCTCAGGTCCGTATCGATCAGACCACATGCCTAATTCTCAGCAACATCAGACACAGATTCACACCTTGCCCCATTTATCCCAACATCCCGAATTCTCTGCTCACACAACAACACAACCATCTTTTACGCAGGCTTCTTATCCCGGAACTGGTCGACCACTAGCTCCTGAACAGGTAGGATTCACATCACCGAAACAACAAAGGAAAACGAAGGGGCACGTAGCGTCTGCGTGTGTACCATGTAAAAGAGCCCATCTTAGGTAAGAATCTCCTGAAAATTCATCATTTTCCTCTTTAAAATTGGAATAGTAAAGCTAACAAATTCACAACAGATGTGACGGTATGTGATATTCCCTATCATTACGAGTGGTTCTATGTCAAAGATACACGATTCCCTGTCAGAAACAAGGTTCTATTAGCCATAAGCCCTAGTGAACAATAGTTTCAAATGGTTTGCCCTTATCAGACCAAATATATATAACCAAGATATAACTTGTTTGGTTTGAATTCTACATTTCTGGCACCCATTCATAAGATTTCACGTGTTAAAAAACAATCCAGATATATTTAACCCCCTGACAAAGTTGTCTAAAAATCTTTCCACTGGTTTTTAGGTTTAAACTTCATTTTGGAAAGAGTTCAAAGTAGAGATCTCTAAGTTTCAGAATTTTATTTGAGCAGAATTACATTTACTGACAATAGATTCTTATAGCCCAACGACCATGTTCACGGTGTGTAAGTAACGGCAAGGAAGATGCTTGCGTAGATGTTCAACACAAGAAGCGTGGAAGGCCGAGGCTACGAGATGAAAGGGTTCCTCGTTACGATGGCATCACTCATGGCTACTCGAACGACTTAATGCGAAGGCCACAGTCTTTCTACAACCAAAATGAGCCCACTGTGTCCATATTTGGCGCTAACTTACAACAAAGACCGGGTGAATATCGAATTCTAAAATCCCATGGAGCCTCCATTAATAACAGCATGCCAAAGTATAGCGATCATAATTCAGCCAGCGATACAGGTATCTATATTTCACCTCAAGCACCCAACTCGAGACCTCTAGCCCATCCAGAGCCAGCTTATGCATTCTTAAGCCTGGACATGGTAATTATTAAATCGACGCCCAGCTTCGGAGAAACGATAGGTACCCATTCAATTGTGAACCGGCCGTTTCAGGATATTGTCACCCCAAATGAAAGGGAAAAGGTTATTAGACTACAACGCACGTTTGAAGAAGAGCGACGTGAACGAGAGCCAAACTATCTTCCACCAATATACCTCTCTAAGTTTGAAGAAGATCGGGTAATCCAGGCAATCGGATTCGGTATAGAAGATCTTGGTCATGTTAGAACAGACCGGCAAGAGATGCTTACTTTTCAGGCCCCGGATGGTCAACAGAGAACCTTCCAAGTTCGTATGGGCTTGGCTAAGAAGATATCTACCTATTTTATTGTGGTACTTCTCCATATACCAACTTCACAAATTTATAACTCACCTTCCATGTCTTATACGCGAGAATCTCATTCTCGCGACTCACAGTATGGATATCAATCCTCACTGCAAGGATTTTCACAAAACTCAGGGTCGTCGTCTTATCCCACGAGCCCAGCATATAGTGATGGACGCCTTGAATTACCGAGCTACAGGACGCCATGTCCAACTGGGTCTGGTATAGCTTATAACTCAACGGGTATCACTCCATTCTATCAACCTCACACACGTGTAGAATACAACCAGCCACAAGCCTCATATCAAGTACCCAGGAGCGAGTTACTACAAGGTAGTCAATCGCGTCCTAATGATCTACAGTTACCACCTATTAGAGATCCAATACCACATCGTGATAGTGTTAAGGGCCGCCTCGATATTGGTGGACTCCTTGAAAGCACAGATATTGGAAGCTCGCGTGGCTGAGACAAACCAGATAATTTAACACCGCATTTGAATGAAAATGCAGCTGAATGGCAGCCAGTTTTACCTTCTATGGTGCGAAGAGTCAACTTGTACATATGTTTAGATGCCATTCTGTAATCTTTCTCGCAAACTACTGCTCAATGTTTTGTGCATTTATACGACGATATCCTCAGGTGCTGTTTACGAAGGCAAACGTATGAGAATAAATGAAAAAACAGCTTTACTGTACTTTAGTGCACGGAGTGCGGACAACAAAAGGATGATATTTGGAGGTTATGAATACAATCCCTGGAGATGGAGATTGGAGATGATCGATGAAAATTTACGAGGGAAAATCTGGTTTATATTTAAACGAATGATCAAAATCTGGGGTATTTAGCTACCCAGACAATTTAATTTAACATCTCAGAATAAGTCAATTTATTCGAAGAGACACGCTTTCTTAAATCAATCAGCCACAATGCCTGGCGTATGAACATGATTGGTATGGTTTGAATGAAATTCAACTCTAATTCTAGATTCTACTATTTTCCTTCTTTGCTGCAATATTTTACCATCTTTAAACGGAAGTATTGAGCTATAGGTTTGGTAATTGATAATCTCTCGTCCATAACTTCACAATAATCGGTCTGGCCTCGAGAAGATTATATCTTGTCAAAAAGCGCTTTTAATAAAATGTCATATTTGGCATCAAGTATTACCCTATCCAAGAAAATAAATTTAAGCTACGATGAACTCTATTGCCGTCACGATGCTGAAGTTATGAAATGTCGAATATTGTTATTATCACTTAATTATGTATATTTAGTTTAGCTCTAACATATTGTAGAGTACACGCCTGGTATATCTCAGGCAGTTGTATACCTGTAATCCAGTCTACCAACAAGGACCCAATCATTAGGGATTGGGTAAAGTAATAATCAACCATCGTTTTTCACCTAGTCCACCTATTCAGGTCTGAATAATTAATCCAATAAATATGGCTTCACTCATACGTAACAAAGAAGCTGCTCCTTAGTAAGCCATAGGTCCCGAATGCTGCCGAGATATATGCGAGTCTTAAAAGCTAGATTTTATAACACAAAGCTCTTGACTAACGCGGCTTCCGAATTCAACCCGCGCAAGGATCTTGAGAGTGGTGATAAAACTGTAATAACCAATAGATAAAAATCAAATATATAGCAGAATTCACGTTGCATCTGAGCTGCTCACGATTTGTATAAATAAATAAATTTTCCAACTGTCCTGATTTGGCGCCTTGAGGCCCATGCAGGTTTTATCGGACGATATGTATTTTAAGTGAGATGACTAAATTTGAAGTTTAGAACGCTCACACTCAGATTTCATTTGCAGATAGCACTGGAGGTTGACCCTTACGGCGTTTAACCTATTCCGTGCAGACCCACCACAGGGAAAAGCGTGAAAAACCACTGGCTATCCGAGTGTGCTTTCATCATCCCACAAGCAAAATGTCACCGCAAGAGAGAGTGGTATGTGAGTCTGACTGGATTCGAACTAGCTTTCTCCTGTCTCAAATGGGGTAGGTGTTCAAGCAGCCCAGAGACTACTTGGGAGAACGGCCTGAATGGCGTACCATTGCACCATAAAGCACCTGTACCTAAATTTACTTGTCAATCTACCAACAGCCCGTTCAGCTACCTAAAGTCCAAATATTTGCACAAATGTCTAGAGTGATAAAGTACTCAACCTTTAGCAGACCCTTTGATCCCCCAAAAATGTCCCTACGAGTCAGCGTCACCGCCAAAAACTGCCATGAGTTCCACATTATTCACCTGGAGTGTCTGTCTAGTCATGCTAGAAACTTTTATCCAATACATTCCTAGAAGTGTCGAATTTGTTTGAGTTACCCATCATCTTGCTAATATGCTTTGCTTATTTCAGGAATCATATTTTGGAAGAAGGTCACTAGCCGTGACATTTACATAAAATATTTTTCTGGCGCACAATTCGGGGCGTTTGGAGTGCCACTGGAGTTGATATTGCTTGAAAAGACCGAGCATTGTCACGAGTGGTAGCTGCAAATATCTACTCACGAATGGTGGTTCGGAGGAATTCCTATAGCGCAGAGCTGGGGACCTCATTTAAATCGATTCCCTCTAACCAAAATCTAATAAAGCTTTGAAAGAATTACACCATAGATAGTTAAGGAGTTTTGGCCTCAGAAAACACATTGATTGCTGTGATGCAAAATGGTTGAGTGTATAGCCTTGATAGGCCACATAGTTTGTGTCTCAAATTATCGCTGCTAAAATGCTATTGTTTGCCTAATTACATCGCACGGAACTCCATAGCTCAATAGGTAATAGTTACTGTTAGATGCAAAGGGTCAATTAAGAAATAAAGTGTGAAAGTATGCTGATAAGATCTTTAACCCCTCTACTCCTACCCAGCCTTGACACTGTATATCTATTGAAGACTAGCATCAGAAAGGAGTCTCTTCTCGTTTCCAAACATTACATATGAAAATAAATTGTACATGTTGGAGAGCCAAAACTCTCTAGTTGGAGATTTGATCATCCTAATCACCATGTGCTGAGCGAGAGAGAAAGATGAATTTTTATTGTAATATTTGAGTCTTAGTCTATGTAGCATATTGAGTTCCTCTCTGGCCCCTGCCACACCTTGTACTGTGCTCCTATCCTCTTTTGTTACTCGAAAGATTATTGATATATTGCCTGTGATGAATAGCCATTCAGCTCAGTATTTATCCATGGAATCAGCCTCCTTTTCCACGGAACCTTCTACCCCAAAAAAAAGGTAGCAATGGAAACTGCGTGCGCGGGACAAGTCACAAAAAACTTGCAGCCCCATCTATTATGATTGGTATATGATTTGGGAATGTACACTTGCGCTGGAACAGCTAGGATAGTTTGCGGAGAGATATCTTCATTAATGTGTAGAATTGATATTCCTATGATTATTGTTATGTTACAGTTGGGAGAACCTCGTCACCTACCCCCTAGCTTGTTCGCTTGTAGACCGATCACGTTACCAGTTTGCAACTCACCAAGGTGTGCTCCCAACTGGGCAACTGTGCAAGTTGTCCTAAATCCATAACCCATCCCTCATACTGCACAAATTACTACTTACAATGTCGTTATATAGAGACTGGATCTCCTCCATGCGCCATTATGCCATGCTGCCATGCTGCCATAATAACTACCTATGCACCAGCTACTAGATCTACCATACTACATAGCTGAGCATAACACCATTCAGGTGAGGCCTAGACAATATGACTACATGAGATGCGCATAATCATCTATATCTCCCTTTATAATATTAAAGACCAACTTGATCCAATTCACCATCGTATCATGATTCTGAACTGAGAGGTTTACAGCAATTATATGATTCTGCTGTCATCCTGTGGATGGCATGGGCTCATGTACAATGGTAAGTCGCAGAGATGGCACGATGGATACTGAGTGCGTATCAAATGGTGATCTATGAAGGAGATACTTGATGCGCATTCAAACGATTGATAACATCATCTAATGGATGATGTGAAGTATGATTTTGTATGGATAGATACCTCACTAAAATCGACAGGTGGAGAGATTATAAAGTATATGAACAGCGCCTGCTCACCAGCCTATATTTTCCACCCTTTCCTAACTCAGCAGTTCAATTTTCATTCCACTATCTCGAAACAACTCTACCGAGCCAGCACAGTAGATAATAGTCGATCAACAAAAATTATGACCAAGATGAAATCTAGGTTTTCTCGCAAAATATGAAGAAAATTCTCGCCAGTAATGGAAATAGTCACGAAGATGCAGCTTGCGAAGCGAAAGAGGTTATAGAGACCTTGAAATTCTACCGTTAGAAGTGGCTGGAAGCTTCCTGGAAGGAAACTTTATCAAAAAATTAGGACCAACTTCAATGGCCTCAAATTCTGCTGTTAAGATCTCATGTGCGGCAGTCAGAGCGCCAGCATTAACGTGCTCTGCAATCCTGATAAGGGTAAAGAATGCTCAGATATGCAGCCTGCTCAGCTATTATCAATGGTTTAGAGATATATCGCGGTAGCAGATATAGTAAAGTGGATGAGGAGTCATAGCATAGAAGTTTTTGTTCAATCTTTTAAGAAGCGTGACGCGGCCTTGAACATATTACAAGCAGAAGATTTTAAAATTCTGCACTAATACCATCATGTTAAGCTCTTTGGTATGCCATTAGATACAGAAATCCAGAGAGACAAGAATGCGGACAAGAGCCTGCTCATATCGGTGATAATTGTCGTGACTGGGATCAGAATCCCTTGGCTCCTAATAAACAGAGTTCGGTGGCTTCATGATAAGAAAAGATATAATCAGGCGAAGAAAAATTATCACTAAATGAAAACTCTTGTCCTAAGCCTGCACTCGGAAGCTATGCAGAGGGAAGTAGTGAGAATTGGCATTGTTTTAAATTTATGCTCTTAGCTGCTCAACTCTAGTCACCATGGACCCAAGTGAAGCAATTCCACAACTACAGTGAATGGAGACACAAGCAGTCTTCTTGTAGAAAGTAGGCAACATAAAGCGTTGCCCGAAAAAGAGAATTTCCTTTTATAGTTGCGAGAGATCTTATTACTCGTAACAAAGAGCTGTCTTTCAAAAATTTTCAGCTTTACAAATCAAGCGTTCAGAGAGCCAAACAAGATGTCCTCGCAAGAACTATGGAGGCTGACAATGAAAACTTCTTGATGGTTTCAACACTACTCTATCCTTTCAAGTCGTTAAAAACAGGAAGCGATAAATCACGATTACAATCGGTGTTGTGCCAAAATTCGCAGAGAGCCTGGGCAACCAAGGAAGGAAATTCCAACTGGTGTACCTACAGCAACTTGCTTCCCCAACTTCGGAAATCTTGTGAGTTTAATAGCTCCAGCCAACAATTCTCTAGCACAAAAGTAGGTACATCTCACGTATCGGAGCCCCCCGAGTTGTGAAAGCTATCTATATCTTGCAATAAAATTGTGGAGCAAGTAATAA